AGCCTCAGCGCTCAGGCGCATCGAACAAGATGGTGCAGTCAAGCACGCGAGGATGGAAGGCCATGACGATTGGCCTAGTCTCCATCCTCGCCGGATCAGCTCTCGCAGGACCAGACCTCACGACGAAACACGAAAAGGGAAGGTGCGCGATACGTGGCCAATGCGGAAAGCAGAGCTTCTTCGGATCAGAGCTGCCCTGCCCTGATAACGGCCTAGCGAAGACGCCAGACGATGCCGTGCGCAAGAAGCTGGTCGATATTTGCGGTGACCAGTGGTCTGACAGTGACGTCTGTTGCGACGAAGACCAACTCGACGCTCTCAAGACGAACCTCGACCGCGCCACGCCTATCATCAACGCTTGCCCTGCTTGCAAGGAGAACTTCTACAACCAGTTCTGTACCTTCACTTGCTCTCCTGATCAGTCCACCTTCATTAATGTCACAAAAACCGAGCCGAAGGGAGACAAGTACTTGGTGACCGAGTTGGACAACCTGGTATCCGACAAGTACGCGTCGACTTTCTACGACAGCTGCAAGGATGTCAAGTTCGGTGCGACGAATGGCAAGGCTATGGACTTCATTGGAGGAGGTGCGAAGAACTACACTCTGTTTCTGAAGTTCCTTGGCGACAAGAAGTTCTTGGGCTCGCCCTTCCAGATCAACTTCCCCCGACCAAACGAGGCTGACTTTCCTGGAATGGACGCGATGAACAAGCACGCCTACCCTTGCGATACCGACGACGAAAAGTACCGTTGCGCCTGCCTCGATTGCGGCGGCTCCTGCACTGAGCTGCCGGAAGTTCAAGAGGAGAAGCAGTGTCACGTTGGCCTATTGCCGTGCCTCTCCTTCGCCGTCATCATAATCTATTCGTTCTTCCTTGGCTTGCTATGCACCGCCGTCGCAGGCCACGTTGCCTACAAGAACCATTCGAAACATAAGACTGAGCGCATGCGCCTCTTGCAGGATACAAGCCCTAGTGACGATGAGGACGAGGGCGATATAGTACACAATGTTGGCATGCTGGATCGCCCTACCAAACACTATTTCATCAACACATGGTGCGACCGCATGTTCAGCCGCCTCGGGTACATCTGCGCTCGCTTCCCTGCCATCACCATTGTTACCAGTGTCATAGTAGTTGGTCTGATGAGCTTGGGATGGTTGCGCTTCCAAATTGAAACCGACCCTGTCAACCTGTGGGTTTCTCCCGACTCAGCTGCGGCGCAGGAAAAAGCTTTCTTTGATGAGAAGTTTGGTCCTTTCTTCCGTGCTGAACAAGCCTTCCTCGTCAACGACACGCTTGAAGGTTCCGGTCCTGTTCTCAGTTACGAGACGCTTGACTGGTGGTTCGGTGTAGAGAATCAGATCCAGCGTCTCAAGTCCTACGAACATGGTATGACGCTTGACAAAGTCTGTTTCAAACCAGTAGGCGACGACTGTGTCGTTCAGTCTGTGACTGGATACTTTCAAGGCGACTTCGCAAACGTGTCCCCTGACAGCTGGCAAGACGACCTACTGCAATGTGTCGACAATCCTTCTCAATGTCTGCCAACTTTCCAGCAGCCGCTCGACCCTCATCTTCTCTTTGGTGGCGTCAACGAAACCGTCTTGGACGCGAAAGCACTCGTCGTCACCTGGGTTGTGCAGAACTACCCCAAGGGTACCCCAGAAGAGCAGCGTGCTATGGACTTTGAAAATGAGATGAAGAATTACCTTAAGTTTGTATCTGACGAAGCTCATAAGAGAGGTCTGCGTCTGAGCTTCAATACCGAAGTCAGTCTTGAGCAGGAGCTGAGCAAGAGCACCAACACAGATGCCAAGATTGTGGTCATCAGCTACATCATTATGTTCTTGTACGCTTCCCTGGCTCTGGGCTCTACCACCCTCACCGTACGGTCCGTCCTTCGCAACCCGGCGAATGCTCTCGTGCAATCCAAGTTCATGCTCGGTACTGTCGGCATTCTGATTGTACTCATGTCCGTATCTGCATCCGTTGGCCTATTCTCGGCAGCTGGCATCAAGGTCACCTTGATTATTGCAGAGGTCATTCCATTCCTTGTCCTGGCTGTCGGTGTTGACAACATCTTTCTCATCGTGCACGAGTTTGAGCGCATCAACATCAGCCACCCTGAAGGCAGTATTCCGGAGCGCGTGTCGCGTGCTCTCGGGCGCATGGGTCCTTCGATTCTGCTTTCCGCGCTTACCGAAACCACCGCCTTCGCTCTTGGATGCGCAGTAGGTATGCCAGCTGTCCGAAACTTCGCAGCATATGCCGCCGGAGCTGTCTTCATCAACGCCATTCTTCAAGTAACTATGTTCATCGCTGTGCTTGCTTTGAACCAGCAACGCGTTGAGACCAACCGTGCTGACTGCTTCCCCTGTGTTCGTGTCGGCAAGGCCGATCCTGGTTATCTCAATGGCGGTATGGGATACGGCGCTGGCGAAGAAGGTGCACTACAGCGCTTCATTCGTAAGACGTATGCTCCGGCAATTCTAGGAAAGAAGACGAAGGTCGGTATCATTGCGCTGTTCTTCGGCATCCTCACAGCTGGTCTCGCCCTCTTTCCCAGCGTAGAGCTCGGTCTTGATCAACGCATTGCTATCCCAAGCGATTCTTATCTTATTCCTTACTTCAACGATCTTTACGATTACCTCGACGTCGGTCCTCCTGTTTACTTCGTCACCAAGGAGCTGAACGTTACCGAGCGGAAGCCTCAAAAAGAGTTGTGTGGACGCTTCTCTACTTGCGACCGAGAGAGCTTGGCCAACATCATCGAAGCGGAGCGCAAGCGACCTGAGGTCTCACATCTAGCAGCTTCAGCTGCCAACTGGCTGGATGACTACTTCCTATGGCTAAACCCTGAGAATGAGAAGTGCTGCGTCGACGACAAGGGAAAGCCATGCTTTCAGGACCGCCAACCACCTTGGAACATGACTTTGTCTGGCATGCCCGAAGGTGAGGAATTCATCCACTACCTCAAGCTCTGGATTGAGGCGGATACCACCGAAGACTGTCCTCTTGGTGGAAAGGCTGCTTATTCCGATGCTCTCGTCATTGACTCCAAGCGCCTCACCATCCCTGCATCCCACTTCCGCACTTCACATACGCCTCTTCGTTCTCAGAAAGACTTCATCTCCGCCTATACTGCCGCACGTCGCATCTCGAAGGAAATCTCCAAGGACGTGGATGCAGAGGTCTTCCCATACTCCAAGTTCTATATCTTCTTCGACCAGTACACAACCATTGTTCGACTAGCCGGTGCGCTCATCGGGTCTGCTCTTGCCGCAGTATTGGTCATTACCACTATAATGCTGGGCTCCATTGCCACCGGTCTGGTTGTCACCCTTGTTGTTGGTATGACTGTGTCTGCAATCATTGGCTCTATGGCTGTCCTTGGTGTATCACTTAACGCAGTGTCACTCGTCAACCTTATCATCTGCGTCGGTATCAGTGTTGAGTTTACGGCACACATCGCCCGTGCATTCACCTTCCCTAGCCGTGCTACTATGGAGAAAGCGCCAAGGCACCGCTTCCGCGGTCGTGATGCTCGTGCCTGGACTGCCATGGTCAACGTGGCCAGTAGCGTCATTAGTGGTATCACAATCACGAAGATCTTGGGTGTAGGTGTATTAGCTTTCACTAGGAGTAAGGTATGTATCATCTCCGTCTTGACACCGGCGCCATATGCTAACAGCGCACTAGATCTTCGAAATTTACTACTTCCGTGTCTGGGTAGCCCTCGTATTATGGGCAAGCACACATGCACTTGTCCTACTTCCTGTACTACTTTCTCTCGTAGGCGGAGGAGGCTATGTCGATCCCGAAAGCGAAGGCGGCCTCCAGGAGGATCTACGTCGCCGCCAGTACCCTGCTTTATTGGCTGAGGAAGATGAGTACGACAGCGACGATTAGGAGTCTACCATGTACCGCACTATCGGTCATCGTTGGCGAAGGATTATGGAGTTATCCAGCATGGGCTGTACGTATATCAATGGATGGGCATGGGATACATGGTTGGCGTTTGGCAGGAATGTTTCTATTTTCTTGAGACCTGTTGATGAAGACGGAGAGCGTGTAAGGTGGGCTGCTTTGCTGGCTCCACCGACTGCTTCGGAGGATGTCGCGGCTTCTGGGTCTGCTGGTACTATTCGAATCGTAGAAGAAGAACTCAGAGAGGAAGATCAAGACCAGCTAGATCCCTCCACGCTCCTCTACCAGGACTCGATTGCTTAGCTTCAAATTGAGTCTGTACAGAGTCGTTCTTGTGCTCCTTTTGACTTGCTACACAGATGTACCCGGAAGTATGCGCTGTGCTCTGTTCTGATTGCTGATTGTACGAAAGCTCACAACTACACTTGGAGTGTGCCGTGGTGTCAGGTGTACAGAGGTTCTCGTGAGTGGAACAAGGTGATTGCAATACAGTAGAAGTCACTACTCCATTCAGCTAGCCGCTTAGTAACGGGCGAACGATCTTTTGAGTAGTGCATGCGTCAGAGTCGAAGTCGGAGATATGCGGAGTGCTCGTCATTTACAACAAACGTGAGCGGAAGATATGCTAGAATGAGATGACGTTCACATGTCTTAACCGCAAAGGAAGAGGCGACGTGGAGGTAGAGTGGGTCACTCCTAAACGACATCCTCCGTTCCGAGGCAATTCTTCCCCAGATGCCGCCGATGATACCTCCAACCCAACCCCTTTCTTGACATGCAACCGCCATAGCTACCCGGCGCCTATACTACACAACAGGCAGTTTATGACCAAGTCCCTGACGCCGCGTACAGAAACTTCGCATTTGCCACATTTCATCCACCAATGACAGGGCAACAACTCCGCGGTAGATCGCCGGCAGATGCTATTAAGCCTCATCAACCCCATAGCGCCGATGGATGATGCTTGTTGAGACACGGCTACCTGGAATCTGGTGAAGGCGCACCAATACATGACGCAAAATTTTGCGAGGTGGACCGTCGGAGGGAGTTGACGCGCGGAGACGGCTACCAGACATGGAGAAGTTTCCGTCTGGGGGCTCGGAGACGTCACCTCGGTGATTCTCCGACCCCTCCATCCCGCCTCCGATAACTTTTTCCCCAGACAACGTTTAAAAGTCCAGAACACCCACAGTCGAGACCATCACAAACTCTTTACTTTTTCTCTCTATACCCCAAACAACTCAATTGCAATCATGTCTCTCGGAAGGAAGGTTACTCTCAACACTGGCGCTGCCATTCCGTGAGTACCCAAACAAACACCCCGCGGATACATGGCGGTTGCTAATAGTTACAGCCAACTTGGTTTCGGCACATGGCAGGCCGAGCCTGGTCAGGTCGGCGCCGCTGTCCTTGAGGCTCTCAAGGCTGGTTACCGTCACTTGGATCTCGCCAAGGTCTATGGCAACCAGAAGGAGATCGCTGAGGCTCTCAAGAAGGCCTTCGGCGGCGAGGTCCCCAACCTCAAGCGTGAGGACGTCTTCATCACATCCAAGCTCTGGAACTCCCAGCACCGACCCAAGGACGTCCCCGGCGCTCTTGACGACTGCCTGGCTGAGCTTGGCCTCGAGTACCTAGACCTTTACCTCGTCCACTTCCCCGTCGCTTTCGATGAGCGCGGCGATGTACACAACAACCTCTTCCCTCTGGAGGGCGAGGACGTTAAGATGCTCGACGACATCTCCATTGTCGACACATGGAAGGCCATGACACAGCTGCCCAAGGAGAAGGCGCGTGCTGTTGGTGTCTCCAACCACACAAAGGAGCACCTCCAGGCCCTCATTGACGGCACTGGTGTCACTCCCGCTGCCAACCAGATTGAGCGTCACCCGCGTCTCCTCCAGCCAGAGCTCATCCAGTACTGCAAGGAGAAGAACATTCACATCACCGAGTACTCCGTAAGTTTGTTCATACCATGCAGGCTGACATATACTAACACCACTCAGGCTTTCGGTAACAACATGATCGGCGAGCCCCTTCTCGTCCAGCACAAGGTCATCAAGGAGATTGCCAGCCGCATTGGCGCCACCCCCGCACAAGTTATCCTCGCCTGGGCCCAGAAGGGTGGCCACTCCGTCATCCCCAAGTCCGTCACCGCATCCCGCATCCAAGAGAACTTCAAGGAGGTTGAGCTGTCAGAAGACGACTTCCAGAAGGTTGAGCAGATCGGCAAGGATGAGCCTCGCCGCTTCAACATCCCATACATCGCCAACAAGCCCCGCTGGCCGGTCAACATCTTCGGCGAGCCCGAGGAGAAGGATGCGCCCCACAAGGTTATTGTTAAGGTCTAGATAGATGATTTGGCCAAAGAAGCCTAAAACGAATACATAATGAATACCCCTGTTACAACAACTTTATTCTGATATTTGAAGTTGATGATTGACTTGATGTATGTGCTCAAGTACGACCAGAGTTCTCGAAAAGATTTGATCCTGCGACACCGGTGATACCATCGAGCAAGAGTGACCCTTGTGCTTTCTACGCTTCGTATGCATGCACCTGCAGGGATACTTAGGTGCGCGGGCAAGCTAAGCTAAATGCGATGTTGCAATGTTACTCTAGAACAACAACACGCTCCGATTTGCAACACTGTCGCAATATTGCAACGTATATTGTATGCCTTGTCACGGTCTACGTGATGGCATCTCTAACGATACCTCTGTTAAGTGAGCGTAGGATCCTGGATTCATTTTATGCTATCTCGGGACGTGAGAGACCCTGGTGGATTATGTTGAGCCGATTACGATGCGATTGATCACTTTCAGAAGTCGCGCGTTCATTGAACATCTCTTCAGCTCGTGTCATTCGCTTACGCACCGTGCCATCTGTTCGCGTACCAAGAACATAATGGGAGTTGGCTGCGTCGGCATCGTCTGAAATCTTCTTTTACCTGCACGACTACGTCTCGCTGACAACGCGCGCGACTCTTGAAGCAAGACTGTAGGACCTTTAGACTCTTCCGCTACTCGCTAAGCTGACAGGCGAACATTCTGAACAGCTTTGAAGGACACAACGTTCACTCTTGCTCGATTCCTATCACTACATTCACTTCGGTACAAGTCATCGCTTATAACTCAAAGATCGACTAGACCTTTTTCAATCCCAACACCATCGCAACTACGCCTCGACAGACAAAAATCTTTACTCCGCTGCTGCACCGATACGATGCCTTTGCTCCATAGCACTAAAGCGCCAAACGAGCACCTCATCTTCGTCAAGAACGTTCCCGGCTACTTTGCGACTGACGAGATTCGCAGTCTGTTCGCCAAATACAATCCAGCAAGCATCAAAAACGTATACCCCAACAGCAATGTCACTACGATTGTCATCGGCTTCCGCACAAAGGACGAAGCGGCGCGCGCTCAAGCGGAGACAGATCAAACCCGCTTAGCGCATGTCGTGCTAAAGGTAGAGACGTACAACCAGAAGCAGTCAGTGAGATACCTGAGGGACCAAGGACAAGTCACTCGGCCGCGAGGCGCTGCGCAAGAAGACGAAGCGCAGTGCTATGACGAGGAGCCGGTACAAGAAGAGGGACCGGTCTTCACTCCACCCATGGAACCACACGTTGCGAAAGATCCCACTGCTGCGCCGCAGCGCACTACTTGGGCTGATGTCGCTGGCAATCGACGTGCTCTGGTCCATGAGGCGCCTACTTTGCTCGAGGTCGGGAGTCCAGCCACTACAGAATCCACACCTATATCCACCCCCCGCATGCCGATAGTTGTCCCACAGAAGCTCTTCGCGCCAGGCCTTGAGCACAAAAGCTCGCAGCGCCCACCGCCGGCAGTCGTCTCGTTAGGCTACAGCACTCCAGAAGCCTTCACCATCCCACCAGCTCTCAGTTCCCGCAGTACCGACACATACTCTACCGACGAGATAGAAGACCGGATTAGAAAGCTCGCCAATATTCCAGACTGGATGACAATCGCACAGTGGGCAGATGATAGCAGTGGCCGAGAACCCACACGTTTCCCAACGGAGCCTCTCGATACCACGGTGCGTATCCGGGCGAAGCACTGTCGAGATTGCGCATTTTGTCAGCTAAGAGATCGATACTAGGTCCAACGCCTCCCGAGAGTTGGCAATATCTTGGTGAGGGGATGGATATGCTACTTTGACTTGCGCTGCAAAGTTGAAGGAGTTGGGAGTTTTGGTGCTACGATGGAGATGCTCAGTGGATGTTTTCGGATCTTTGTAGAGTAGTCGCTCCAGCAAAAGAACCAAAAGCTATTTCGATCATCCAGATTATGCGTGTAGTTTCCATGCGGACAACAAGTATATTTGGAGCGACCAAGTTACTGTGTTCAAAAGTTGCTGTGCCTACATCAGATTGAAATGGAAAACAGTTGCCAGGATATCAAGAAAGCATTGCATCATGTTGTGACAGAGACGCGACACATATAGGTTTATTGGATCGACGTCATAGCGGTTTCGGTTCGCGTTAGCGTGGAGGCATGGTCCGTCCAACTGGGATTCTTTGCTATCGTCAACTCTCATCCTTCTCTTTACGCCGGCTATCGAATAATTTCATCGCATCTACTCATTCACGTAAGCTCATCTCGCTGATACACTGGTTTTCTATTGCTAAGCTAAGTTGCTTTTCATGAACCCCGCACGAGGGAGAGGAAACCAATGAGGTCATGGTGAGCCCTGGAGGTATGCTGAGAGAGGCTACTGACGTGAACTTTGAGTATTACCACCTCGTACTTCCATCATCGCTAGGTCGGGAACACCTAGATTGCTATGCATGCGATGATCAAACTCAGCTCCGTGATATGGGGGGTAGCAACTCGACATACGTCCGGACATGTGCGAGACTCCTTGTTATTGGACTCATTACCCCAAATTCCTGGCAACATTTGTAGGTTGCGATATTTTTCATACGGAGTTTGATCTCAACGAGCGCGCGGATTCAACGCAACCTGAACGATTCGTCCGTTCCTCATGCCGCAGAGGCTCAGCAGCGTTGAGGAGATAGCCGTCTGTAGATGGTGAGGGCGCTTCGGATCCAAGCCCACTATCGACGAAGTGCTCAACGGTTGTGTAGTTCGATATTTCTTGCGCATCCAATGCATTGGAACCTAGGAATCCCGTCTGCCCGACTTCGGTAGTAGGATTGGGGACGGAAGAGTCGACTGATCGTGCTGTCTCAAGCTTTTCACGCGCAACTCGAAGCTTCTCAGTCTTAGATCGGTGGCACATATCGAGCCAGGCCAGTTTCGAGGATTGGTCAAGCTCGCCGACAACGATCATACCCTTTGTAGCCCGGATGGTCTTCGATTCGTTCAAACTGACGAGAGAGATCCCGTCGCCTGTCAGCGGATGCTTGCACCAACCGACGTTGAGCACAGGAAGATTACGAACATTAGAAGTGTTCTTTCCATCCGGATAAAGCAACCGTACTGTCTGTATGAGCTGCGATGCTGTCAGCTTCTCATCGCCCCGTTTTTCGTGTTGAGTCATTCTCTTGCAATCATAACTCCATGACTCTTTGTTCACGACCTCGATAATCCAGGGCGCTCCCTTGAGGCAATACAGACCATCGGGAGTTGGAACGTAGTCGAAATTTTTGTAAGTAGCAATCTCGTTCGTTGTTTTCTCAGCCGTAATCTCCCAGATGATTGTCCCGGTATCGATCTTGCGGAACTCCTCTGTTACCTCTTCTTTGATCTCGGTCCAGGCTACTATTTTTCCCATTTGTCTGCGCATCTCTATCGGAGATGGCTCAACAATGCCATGATGAGCGATATCATCAATCAAAGACTCCGACACTGTATTCGCATCCAGTGAAGATATGTTGCTAGATGGAATGGACCAAGTATATTTGCCACGCTTCAGGTGTGTGTAGTCAGATTCCCCCGTCGAAGAACCTGAAATGATAAGTCCTGAATGCCCGGGTGTTATGTTTGCTTCAGGTCTGGTCACTTACGAGGCGTCTTCTTGTCTGCTACCTTCACGTGTTTCCGATGTGGCTCTCCATGTGCCATGTCTTCATTGCCATGTTTTCTCTTCCTCCCTCGGCTCGCCATGTCAAAGCAAGGTGCCTTCGATCAACCAGTCCGGAAGATGTGAGAAGATCGGGAGAAGACAAGTCTCTAAGATCCGCGTCCCGCGTCTTCGAGGTTGTGGGTGTTCGGGACTTGCGCTTGGGTACGAGTTGAACTTGTGGATGGAATGTTGATTGAGTTGAGGAGATCAACCATCGACGCAGAGATTAGGGCACGACGCATTCCAGCCTTCATGAATCAAGGTGCGCCTGGTGCTCTGCCGGTGAAAACGCTGCACATGGTTCTAGTCAGAGCGCCTACAACAGCGAGCGCGAAATATCACGACATCTAGTGAATCATTCGACAGCCAAAGCTTGGATCATAATCTCTAGCTAGCTTCAAGGCAACAATCGATGTTCCTGAAACCTGTCTCTTCGCCTTCGCTCGATAATGAAAGTAACCTCGAATTTGACTCCAAAGCCGCGAGGCTAGAAGGTAGCACCCTTTTTTGGCCGTTACACGCCACCAAAAAGCAGTGCAATCCCTATACTTCTTGGCAATTAACACGTTATAACCATTGTAACTTGAAACATGCGAACGCCCGTTGAATTAATGCCCAAGATCATGTAGATCGCGCTATAGTCGCAATGGTTCAACGCTTAGCGAGATAATTATAACAGAGGAAATCCCGAAGCTTTCCCTATGATTGACAGGATGGCCCGTGTAGCGTCTACATTAATATATAAAAGTCCGATAAGGTTGGCGGACATCACTCCAGATTTACACAACGGACTCGATTATCTTGCGGGAGGACAAAGAATCTTGTGTGTCATTCATGATTACTGACAAAGAGGTTTCACCGTCCACGGTACCACTTCTGTCTACAACTACACAGCCCTCAAAGACTCTGACCGAATCTCGAACTGATCCGAACTTCAATCAATTTGCACATCTAAATCAGCGACATGCATTCAGGACTCAGACCGCTTGCAATCTTGACACAACATTCTTCGTTGACGAACACCAGATGTCAAACGAGCAAGCGAACGTTACCGAAACCAAGGATTCACCTCTCAATCGCCAACTTCCATGTCCGGGCGACCTAGCTGCAATTCCAGAGGTAGCCGAACCAGTAACGGAGGGGTTCAGACTTTGGCAAACTGAGGAGAGAGATGAAGAATCTGAAACGAGCTACAAGGCCGGCTCGGCCACTTTCATTGAGATACCTGTGAACGGAAAGCCAGTCATGGCGCTTTTGCTTTCTCATCAACTTGGTCAGTGGATGTTAGAGTGTGTAAAGCTTCAACGTGACCATGGGGAACTCGAGGGTCGTTCCAAGGGGGACATTGCAAGTATCGACAAGAAGATCTATGACCTTCAACATATTTCTCGCTCTCTGAAATCGGCAATAACCATGGCCGAGCGTCTCAGTCACATGTCTGGTCAAGACCAACGTGATCAATATCACACGAAGATGTCGAGGTTACAAGATGAATCACAAGAGATAGAGGGACGCATAATGCAACTCCAGAAACAAAAAGCAGTCATAAGGTCTAAAGAGCAGGACTTGAAAGAGCAGTGGATTAACTACATGGAGGCTATCTCTATCAGCCATGACAATGCTTTCATCAAGGCTGGCATATTACCCGAGTATAAGGAGGTGGGACGCAAAGGTTCTTTGGCCAATGAGGAGGAATCGTATGTAGAAATCGCCGCATCTGAAGACACGGAGGTTAAATCGCATTACACGTCAGCGAAAGAACCATCGGGATCAAGCGCTCGGGAAAAGTGGGGCATGGTCCTGTTTAAGGGCAACTCTACAAATAAAGACAACTCCAGCAGCAACGAAGTTGTTCCCTTTCACGAAACTCAGGGAAATGAGCACGCCCAGCTTCTAGAAGAAGCTACAGTACTAGGTCAAAAGTTTTGCAACGCCAAGCTGCCGAAGCGCCGAACCACCATTTTGGGCAATGCTGTTTTGGGTGGATAACTCACCCAAAACAACATTTTTTTCAATGTTTCAAAGCAGGATTTCATTGTCGATAGCTAGTACCTTGTATGCCACCCTTTGGCTTTGATACAAGCTTTAAGGCGGCGTGGCATAGACAATATGAGGGACTTGATCAGAGCGCTGGGGATACTCCGCCAGCACAATTTCAGCGCGTTACAGAATCTATCCCACTCATCTTCAGCCCTTGAGAGGTTGTTGTATTGCGGGTATCGAAGATGGAGAAGCTTTTTGAGATGCCA